TTCGTACGCATGGTCTAGACGAGGGAGCGTTCACAAGACAGTAGCTGAAATCGTGGCACTGTAGCAAGGATCATGCAAAAGCTCCATGCGGAAAGCTCTTGCATCAGTGTGCCCCTTAAGCTTGGAAGTTCGAATGAGCCTTAAAGCATCTATAATATTTGTGCTTAAAGATTTTGCAAGAGAAATAACAATAAGAGATTGAAGGAGGGTATTGAAGCCACATTTCCATCGGATCGTCGAGCCATCCATGATCCCGAGCAGATATCCTTTACAGAAAGCCGTCTGGGACACATTGCAGCAGATTTTTTTACCTTTTTGGTTTCTTTCCTTTTTTTTTTATTTCATTATTTTCGATTAGGTGATTTTTATATAGGGGGCATTCCGATTTTTTTGAATTTAGCTTAAATGTATGTATTTTACATATTAATCTCTAATTTATTGTTCTGTGGAATGTTGTAGCTTCTTCCTTTGTAAGTAGTGTTTATGTACCTTGCCTAAGAACTGGTGGCAGATCTCCCTCATCGTCTGCACCTCGTCATTTTGCCTATCGCTTGTTGGTCGAGTAGCAATCGACCTTGTTGCCACCTGATGATTGCCTTTGGTTTGTTGCTCAACCACCGTTCACGCCAAATTTCAGCAGTCATCCATCCTCCCACTCCCTTTTGTATTCTATAACACCTTCTAGGAGCCCTGGAACGGTGTCAGAGATGTATTTAAATTCTACCTTATACTAATATACATAAAAAATAACTAATTCACACCTCAATTTCAAGTTTAATGACCCCAATTAAACAAAATATTTGGCCATAATTAGCGTAGATCAACGGTCATACCAATATCCCCTTATAAAGGTTTACTAAAAATAAAAGCTAAGGAGAATAAAATAGATCCATTGAAATAATATAAATGAAATCAAAGAAATGCAATACAAACAAGAGTATTAGGTGCTTCTTGAGAAGAATCAAAATGAAAAAACCATTTAACTATTCACAATACATAATCACTAACATAGTATAATCACAAAGAGAAGATTCTGGCATACTCTGCTTCTCTAAATAAATTAAATTGATATAGCAATTAATGTTCAAAATATCGGATCGAACAATGAATCTATAGAGGGAGAATCAAGCTTCAAAGGTTCAACCGGTGTTGAACCGAAAGTTGAATCGGATGATGCAATAAATAATAAATTTATTTAAATATGACAAATGATGAAGTATATATAGTTTTAAAAAACATTATAAAACATAAATTAAACACACAATATTTAAGTGACTAACCATTTCTTTTGAAACATTCATTATCTTTTTAAAATCTAAGGAGTGGAAGGCAAGAAAACTAGCAACGTGCAACCAAAAAGCAAGCAATGAGCAGCCAGCAAAGTGGTTCAAAATCACAATCAAGCTAGACGGAAGCTGCAAGCCTCATGGGAGCTAATCTGGATATGTTTTTTCAGTCACCTTTGTTAGTATAGTAGGAATCTAAGATTATTAATTTTTATATTTATTTATATAAATATTTTTTAAAATAATTTGACACTAGACTAAATATGGTTAAACCAGGAAAGAAAGGTGATTGATTCACCAGTTTCAACGATCAAATCAACGGTTCAAATGTTTCTGGCCGTTTTGATATTTGGGGTGGTTATTTTATATGAATTGGACTGGATTCACGGCTGGTTTACAGCCAAACCAATAGAACCAGGCAGTCCGGTCCGATCCAATTTTCAAAACCATGATGACAATGGTTGAAGAGCCAAACAAGTATAAATATTCCATGAAGTTGCAAAAAATCTTCAAAATGGGGTGGCACAACAAAACTTTTCCCATGAAAGAAACAGTGAGTGGACTAGTAAGCTCAATGATATCACCTTTAATGAAACAAAAGTAGATTTCCTTGAAGAAGTGAGGAAGATGTGCCCAAAGTTCACTAGAGAAGACATCATTGAGCCCAGCAACATGAAGAAGAATAATGTCATAAACGGAAGTTCGTTATAAATCAAACAATGTTTTCAATAGCATGTGAAGGAATAAGTTGTGGTGAGAGCTTGCTGAAGAGGAATCAACAAGGTTGTGATGTGCAAGGATGACACGATGTATGAGTAATACTGCTTTAGGGATCCTATAAGGAGTGTGCTAATTGAAACAGGTGTTGCGGATGTTTTTGGGTCGGTGACTAAGGGTACACGAGAAGGATTTGAAAGGGGAAATGTAGTGGTTTGCTGTCCGGAGAGATAAGAAAAAAGAAACAAGGAGACTACTGCTCAACGAGATTGGAAAGGGTATGTTGAGTTGTTCCAATAATAAGAGAAACAAAATTAATAATAAGTACCAATAGATAATGAAGTGCTTATCATTGTAGATCAAGCGAGGGCAAATCATATTCCAAATTCTAAGTGCAGACTTGATCTAGTGAAGAAGAATCATCCACCAAAAGGTTAGGAGGTAGCATTTGAACATTTGCTTGTACCTTTTGGGACAGATAGATATTCTCAACTCTTAATGGGCTTCGAAACAATCTAAAAAAATTACACATAAATCTTTCTCATAAATGTAAGTAGGATGGGATTGCGGGCTCCAAAAAATTCGATGCCTCGGCCTCCCTTGAAAAGAAAATGAAAATAATGAGAGTGAGATGAGGGATTATACCGTGAGATTTCGGGTTAGATTTTCAAAAGGCATATGAGATAATAAATAAGACACTACCGGAAATTTCACCCATTTTGTTAGGGCTTTCAGATCTAAGATTTGAGGTTTCCCATAGGTGCAAGCTCTTATGGTTAATTACGCATCCTAATTACAAGAGAATATTTTCGATTAAGGTTGGTCATTAGGTACTAAATACATAAATTTAGACTACAGTAATGACAAATTTAAGATTTTTTAAATAAAGAAAGTATCACTATGAGCTTAGAGAAAATTGTAGGGGAAATTGTGACAAACACGATCAAGAACCTATGCTTCCACATCTCAGGCTATCATGGTCCCTGATCTACTTTAGTCAAAAGAAGTAGCCGACCCAACATGAACAAAATTATTTTGTCAGAAGCCATGGATTGCTTCATTCAAGAGAATGTTGTAAACCTGGGGTGAAAGTTTATCTAACGGGGCAAATCTAAATCGACCTTAGTTTATGGAGAGCTTAGTGATCTATTAGGTATATTCTATGATTCACAACTCAAAATGACAAAATACAATTGGGGAACATATGGGTTTAAGTGAATCGTCCATTTTTCTTACATCTTTCTCCTAATCTCGATTTATGTGTAATTGCCTCACATGTAAAGACCTGACATATTGTGCGTCTTTTCGAAATAATCTCGACATACCAGAAGTGCAATCAGTTTTATGAACGGGTGGCAATTTGGCTGGCTTCAAGAACAATCGAAGCGATTTGAACTTGGGTTGAGAGCACAACATTATCATTTCATCATTCTCATCCCACCCAATCGATTCAACTCAAGGATCATATATAAAGGCCAACAGGGAAGCCTTCAAATTCAACCCTCTATTGACATCCATAAAACAAGGTGCCAATCTATATCCCATTTTCAAAATGAGAGAATGAGAAATAACATGTAATTTTACCAAAACTCTAGAAAGACATAGAAAGATGAACAGTAGCAACATCCACTAATAAAAGTTTTATTTTCCAACATAAAATCTAAGGAATATAAAATTTAGGTAATTTTGTCTCATAAATTGTTCCTAAGAGCAATTTGCACCGCATTTGTATTTTACACCTCAAGTCATGTTTGGTTCAAAAAGAAAGCAAAAATGGCTTAAATAGCATCGCGTCCTTCTGTTACACCTTTAGTTAGATTTTTTTCATTTTTGTCGCATAACTTTGGTCCATAGATTATTACAACAGTTTATTGATAGACTTCAACAAAACTTATGTGTAAACACTAGTGAAAGGGATTGGACAACATGCTAGGCCTTCCAACAATGCCAGGGCATATACAGGTAGTTTCTAAGGCACCGAGGCAGAAATTAAGACTCTTACCATGTCAAGAAAAACATATATGGGCGATACATATGCTACCCAGACAAGAATTTCCATGCCCACCACATTAAGAAAGAGATGTATAGACATTGTGAGGGATTGCTACATAAAAAAAAAACACAAAATGGAATAATATAGTCTTTCTGACGCATCAAGAAAGATGCACGAAGGTAACATTAGAGAAGGCTCCATATACTATGTTCAACATTTGCGGTGCATTTAAAATATAGAAGAGAGGGTTTGAAGAGAGAAAGAGAAAAGGACAGAAGATCAAGAGATAGTAGAGAAGAGGAATAGAAAGAATGTCAAGCGGGTGAGGAGAAAGGAAGAGGAATCTTAGGGGAAAAAAAAGAAATTTGTGCATGCCTTGAACCACCCGTAACCATTATGTGATAAGAGATAAAGGAGAGAGCAAAAGATTAGGTAAAATAGACTAATGATAAAGAGTTAAATGTCGAACAAAACTAAAAAATTTTATATTTAAAATTTGGGACCAGAAATAGAAGTTAGAAAAACATGAACCAACCTAAAATATAAAACAACCAGATTACACGTGAAAATTCCTACCAGAAATGCAGAAATAAGCCATAGTCTGCCATAAAGCCTCCATCAAAAAATTGATTTCAAGACAAATTGAGATTTCTTTTTAGGCATTTCTTTTCAACTACCTCTTCCACCAGAATTCCAAATACAAAATACCACAGCTCCAGCAAACCTTCAGGCATAGCGCCTCTTCCACCAGAATCCCAAATACAAAATACAACAGTTTAATCAAACATTCAAGATTAGCAGCTTGCAGTTAAGGCCAGCAGTGTGCAGCTATAATGATGTGAACATCTAACATAACCAAGAAATAGTTCCATCCGCCTACCAGTAATACTTTCTTATGGATCTCATATGAATAAAGAAAAATTTTAAAAACAAATTTTCGGGATGCCCAGGAAAAATGGAGATAAATCAAACTTTTAGAGAGCTTAAATCAGGATAACATGTACCTTTTAATCTCTTTTCAAGGCGACTGACAAAATCAGGTGATAATGTAGAAGAAAGAACTATTGTGGCCCCATCTGGAAGAGCTGACATAAACCAAAAAAAAGGAGTCAATCATTTAATTTCAAAAAATAAAAATGAAATGTGAGAGTTACCAGACACTGAGCCAGATTCTCCATATAAAACACTTTCAGCTTGAGATTCATTGGCGACCATGATAATCAGAACTTCAGCATCTAGATAAATTTGTTAATGTTTTGTAAGAATGGTTAACAAAGGAGAGAAATATCATCAACATAAGAAAGATAAATTCCAATAGGTAATCTGGTCAGATATACTAATGCAAATACACCAGATAACTCAATGATTTTGTTGTATCAAGGGTTCATAAAAATTTGGATCACAATAAACACCACATGACATTAAGAAGCAAAACAGCCATACACCAACATATCATTTCAAATACAACTTACTTAAAGGTGAAGTTTACAAGGGCTTTGCCTGTTTTAAAATTCAAAAAGCACACTGAACCCACGGGATCTGGTCATCACACAAAAAGTTCAACCACCATATATCACTGTTTCTACGCTCAACATAAGCAACCAGAAAACTACTAAAAAATAAAAATAAGAAGAAATATAAAAAATAGGTATTATAGAAAAAAAAAAAAAAGGCATATCAGTGTTTGGGTCAACAATCTAATCTAACCCACAAACTAAAACATCTTCACCAATTTCTGGCACTTGCGTTGAGAATTTTAGGCCACTTGGCTTTCTTATTACTCGTCACATAAAGAATTTAGAATAAGAAAATGTTTTGGAGAAAACCATAAAGCATGGGTGTTAAATACGGTGAAACTATAAGATAGACAATATTATTTTCTACATGAATACTTCGTTATCTATGACATTAGAAAAAAGGACTGATTTGGCATCGAAGTGGAAGTATTATGACTAAATGTATTATGACTAAATCAATAAGACAAATATATTTCCTGGTCGGAATTAGGCTCACTAAATTCAATCAAAAAATTTTACACTTTAATATATGTTTTAAATGAAGCAATGCCCAAAATATTTACAATATTTCAATGGAAGGTCTAGAAAATAATGTCAATTCTAAATTACGCTGGTTTCAGCTGCCTCCATTTTCAAAGTTGGAGACAAAATCAAACAGCTCAAAACATTCATTCGATATTTTATATTCTGCATTCTAGTTTAGGCATTGCAATTTGTTACTTCATAATCAAGCAATTTTGCAAAATTAGATAGTAAATAAACAAGACAAAATTACAAATAAGGTATCTTTCTACATCCACGACCATCCAAAATTCCATCTCCACCCCTACAAATTATAATCATCAAAAGCCTTAAAATAAACCCTAGATCATTGGCAATACTTCTCCACTGTTCTTGTCCTTCGATTTTTTCACGAATCCAATGGGAAGGATAAATGGTTTCTTACAGGCATTCCTAGTGATGAAATGCTCTCAATTGAATTATTAGGTTGACCTTTCGACATATTGATACAGTATTGTAGTGACATCCATATGGTTTCTTAAGCCCATCTATCATTATAGTTCAGTAGTCGTAGCTTTCCTTATTGCTACTGTTGTAGCGGCATGCTTCAACACTTTCTTGTTGCATTTCCTACTCTACGCCTATCCTTATGGTGTGCATATTCTACTGGTTTTGTCCACGGCTCCCTTTGTGCCTTTCCTATAGTTGTGAGAAAGGTTCCATTTAATTCCCACGTAAAGAATTGGATTTGAGTTGTTTTTAAATTGAGTGGAAATATGATGATTACAAATTTTAGCTCGCAGTCCACTCTTATGCACACGTTGAATGCATGATCCTTCAAGTGCGCCATAAGTTTAACTACATAATTTTGAGGGAAGTCATCTGTATAAATCAGCCTAAAGCCTAGATTTTATTTACTTTGGTGATTTATTTTATTGTTCTAATTTCCCCTGAATACTTTGGTATTGGCTTTGCAAGAGTTCTTAATTTTGTTCAAATTAAGTATGATTGAAATTTAATTATGATAAAAAAATTTGACTAGCTGATTTTTTCTGATTCGAGTATCTCATTAGCTTCTTCAAATTTAATAGATTGTTGCATTGTAGTTTTGGTTTAAATTCCCACAATATTGGTGAAAATAGGCTTTAGCTTTCATTGTATTTGAGCTTGGAAAGATTCATTTTGCTTAGAAGTCAATGATTTAGTTTGGATCAAATAGTCAGGAATAAATGAATGCTCCAATAGGCACAAAGTAAGACCTGTAGTCAGAATATAGGTATAATTGATATCCTCATTTTCATAAAATTAATATTCATTGCGTTAGTTGGAATTTTCCCACTTAATATGAATTTTATGGTAGAAATGTAGACTTCCAAAAAATAATATGATTCATAGTGTGACCCTTCCAGGCTTAAACCCAAGAGGAAGCTGGACCGGTTTGGCCAATCCAATGAAAGACCAATTCAGGTTTTCCCATCCTTAAGAGCCACTGGCCCTTCAAGCCCTATTTGCCATGCTTAGTAGTTGAATTAGGGTTACTTTCATTTTCTTATTAAAATTTATAAATATGTAGTGATGAAACCTGTTGAAAACTCTTGGTTTCGGTTTCATATTATTAGATATTGATTTCTTCGATTTTCTCCTATTTGCAGAGCTGTGTCATCTTCTTTTTCGAGAGATGTAGTTGTTACTTGATCCACAGAAGAAAGCAAGTGCCGGACCCAAATCCTTTCATTTTCAGATTTTCCTCTCCTTATTATCTTATAAAAACCCTCAATCTCTCTGTTAATCCTTATTCAAAGTTCTGCACAAAATCAACGGGATTCTCAGGAAATGGAGAACTGCCATCCCCCAATTTGATAGTCTTGAATAACTCATTCAAGACCTCTCAAAAAACAAGAGTTCCAACATTGCTTTAGTACAATGTTACGCCAGCGCCTAAAAACAATGTAGTATTTTATGTGTATAAAAACAATTTAATCTCTTATTAGTTATTATTGTGAGGTATAAATAGCTCTTAATATACTTAGGTTTAGGTTATGCATTAATTTTTTATCTTTAATCTTAGGCTTAGGGTTTGGGAGAGATCGCCCTCCAAGTACTCAAATCTCAAAAATAACAATGCAATCATGTTATTGTACTTTCATCTAAGTCATCCAAGTGTTCTATATCTTAAAAAATTGTTTCCAATTTTTTTTGTCAATAAAAATTCAAAAAATCTTCAATATGAAATTTGGTAGTTGTTTAAACACAATCGGAGTTATTAGCTTAGTCATTAGTATGAATCTTCACAATTTATTATGTTAACAATAACAAGTTTTTATCCCACTAAATCAAGTCAACTACATGAATCCTTTTCTCCATCGTGTCCTATTCAGTGTCATATTTTCATTTAATTCTACTAAATTATGATCATTTTTTATCTAAATTATGATCATTTTTTATACAATATGCCCAAGTCTTTTAAGAACAACCTCTACATTTCTTACATAAGTCAAATCAAAAACAACTATTCTTCGAACTGGCTCACCAGATGGTCAGCGTTTAATGCGCCCAAATCATCTAAAACTATGCTTCTCTTTTATAGGCCAAAATTTTGTCATAAAGCATTGCATGTCTCACCCCCATCTTATAAAATTTTCCTTTACATCTAAGCAATATTTTTTGTATCACACAATAGGCCTGATGCATTCCTCCACTTCAACTGTACAACTTGAATTCTACTAATAACAATAATAACAACCCCATCTATAATCACCATCACTTTAAGCATTAGAGCGGAGACATTTAAAATATTCACTCCTTCTAATAACTTGATCACCCATTGTTACAGCCACACCACTATATCTACTACTACTAAATTTTACATTTCACGTATTCAGTTTTAGATCTACTCAAATAAAAGTCTTTAGGCTCTAAAGTCGAACTCCATATTTCAAGTTCTTTCAAAACTTTTTCTCTAGTTTTATCCATAAAAAAAAATATCATTAGCAAAAAGCATAGACCAAAGTACATCATCCATTAAATGCCAAGCAAGAACATCCATAACTAAAGCAAAAAGATATGGGGTTAAAGTCGAACCCTAATGTAATTCAACTAAAATTGGAAATACTTGATCAATTCTCCTTATGTTTGAACACAAGAAACAACTCTGGTATACATATCTTTGATGACTTAAATATAAATCATATCAGCATCTTTCTTTTCTAGAACTCTCCAAAATACTTTTCATAGAACTTTATCATTATCTTTTTTCTGAAACAACAACGTTCATATGTAGATTCGCCTTATTTGCTTTATAATTCTCCATCAAACCTCTCAATAATTGTATAACTTTCATAATAGACTTGCCCGGCATAAATCCAAATCGATTTTGATAAATCTCCGTATCATGTCATAACGTAAATTGAATTACTCTCTCCCATTGTTTTAATGTAAAACATATTAACTCAATTCCTATATAACTTGCACCCTTTTGTACATCCTCATCATTTTAAAAATAAAAATGAAAAATGCTTTGTAACCCTTCCTCAAGCATCTTCTTAGTTTTAAAAAAAAATATAAAAATATTTAGTAAGCCAAAAAATTCTCAATTTTCGTAAACATTTTCATACTTCTGTTGGAAAACTATGAGGTCCTACCGATTTTCCGCACTAAATTTTCTTTAAATCATCCTCAATTTTTATTTTACTGATGCAACGATAAAAATAAAAAAAATAAAATTATTAAAGATATTAAGATCATTAATATCAATCATATTTTAATAATCTTCATTAAAATGTTTATCAAAATATCTCACCCACCTATGTTCAATATCCTCGTATAAGAAAATTTTTTTTTTTATTTTCATCCTTAAAAAACTTTATTTGAACTAAATATTTACTTCTTTTCTCTTTGTTCGGCTAGTTTATACATATATCTTTCACCCTATTTAATATTTATTCTAATATAAAGATCACTAAAAATAGAACTTTTAACATTACAAATTATTCTCTTAAATTCTCTACCATAAATCTTATATTTCTTCTAATTCTCTAAATTTCAACATACAAACAAAATTTTATAACAAAATTTTATATATTTTATCTTATCTCGCACATTTTTATTCCATCCCCCAACTATTTGTTTGAAAATTTTCCTTGTGAATTTTTAAGTACATCTTTCGTAACTTGCTTAATGGTATTTGCTATTTTATCCCACATAGTATTAACTTTTTC